ATAGATCGAAATCATTTTTATTCGATCTCATATACAAAATCATGTTAATTAATTGATCAACATGTTAATAATAAAGTAATAGCAATTATGATTGCTAATTAATTAACGATAGTGAATAGTAATAAATAGCAATATAATACAAAATTACATGAAGACTTCTAACATCAAATTGCGTCGGATGGAACATCATAACTAACCATTGATGGTTCGTATTACGAAGATACCGTGTAAATGCATAAACACATTATTTGCTTATACCAGGAAATTCTATAGCGGTGTTCACAGAATGGAGGAGAAACTTAAAAGAGAGAGAGAGAGAGAGATAGATAGATAGATAGATAGATAGATAGATAGATAGATAGAGAGATAGACAGAGATAGAAGATCTTTTGCTGTATGAAGGATGAAATCTGAATGCCGAGAGAGAATCGATGTGCTTGTATGAGAGACATCCATATGGAAATTATCCCCACCATTTTACAACAACCCTTATCCTCCACGCCTCTCACCCCTCATCCCCCACATCACTCCCATCTCTCCATTTCAACCTAATTCTCTTGCGTTCAATGAACGATCTTCTGATGAATATATATATATATATATATATATATATGTATGTATATATATATATATATATATATATCTACCTTTAATAGAAAGGATTCTGGGACAAAGAGAGAAATAGGCAGCAGATGAAATTCATCGGAAAAAAAGAAAGAAAGAAAGAAAGAAAGAAAGGAAGAAGAGAAAAATATCGGGGAGAAAATAAAATTGTCTTTTCGACAATGGTCGAAAACAATTACTCTTATGTCCTTCGACATAAATTTTCGATGAATTAGAATATTCGATAGATTGATAGACGGAAAAAGAAAAAAAGAAAGGGACGAAAGAAGAAATGAGAAGTAGTGTAAAATATACTATTACAAATTTTTATTTTCAATAATAATCAAAATCAATCGTCTTTCTTCTTTTTCCTTTTAACTTGTTCGAAAAATTTCGATGTGTGTGAGAGAGAGAGAGAGAAAGAGAGAGAGAGAGAGAGAGAGAGAGAGAGAGAGAAACAGAAAGATAAAGAAAATAACGAAAACAAATTTATAAAATAAAAGAAGCAAGAAATAAATGTAAAAGGATTATTGATGAATGTTTTAAAAATAATTAGTCCTATACGTATTAACCTGAATACATATACATATATATATATATATATATATGTATGTATGTATGTATATAGATGATATATATATATCAAGGAGGATAGGTTAAAGTGATCCATCCGTACGACGACGTTTTACTATCGTGGATCGTCCATAGGTAGTATAGCTGGTGCACGAACGACGAGAAGAGGATTGACTTTAATGTCAGGATTAGGAGCTGCAAACCGAAACCCAAGGATAATCCCTATAGGGGCGGAGTCAATTAAGTCGAGCTAAGGTACCCTATACTCTAAGGATATCCCTTTGGAATCCTTGAAATCGCTCTTCAGGATCAAGCATGTCGGACTGCTATCTCGATTCGATCGCATCTCGTCTGTCTCATTTTCTATATCACTATTACTTATCTTTCTCTCTTAATTCTTACTTGTTCTTTTATCTCTCTCCTTCTCTCTCTCTCTCTCTCTCTCTCTCTCTTTCTCTTTCTCTTTCTCTCTTTAATCTCAAAAGAAAGATAGAGAAGATTTTATTTTTTTTAAATAAATTTATCACTATAATCAATGTATAATTCGAAGTTCATATTTGTCGAATAAAATCAGATATTTCGAAATATTCTATCCGTCTCTCTATCTTCTCTCTCGAGGAAAAAAAAGAAAAAGGTTAAAAAATTACAAAAAAGAGGAGATAGAGAGGATTTCTTTTTTTTTTTCTTTTTCTTTTTTTTCTCTTTTTTTTTTTTTTTTTTTTTTTTTTAAATAAATTTACTCTGTAATCAATGAAGTTTGAAGTTCACTTTAGTCGAATAAAATCACAGATTTCGATAGATTCTATCTTTCTCTTTTTTCTATACACACACACACACACACATATATACACATATATATGTATGTCGCAAGCTTCCGTAGTTTCTAACGAGTGCAGTCGACGTATTACCACGCATTCATCCTTTGTGCCGAGCCCAAAATCCCAGACTCCAAGCAACCAACGAACTCCTCCTACGTTTTGCACGCGTTATTACCACGAAGCTGGTTATTTTCCACGTCCACGTCTGCTAGAACGAAGTCTGGAAAATCACGCTTCGTTGGGGAATAACTCGACGAGTTGAGCCTGTATTTCTCTCTCTCTCTCTCTCTCTCTCTTTCTCTCTCTCTCTTTTTCTCTAACTCTCTTTATCCTACTATTTTCTTTTTCTTTCGCGTGCCCAAAAATTTCACGTACTCTTCCTATCTCTTTTCATTTTTCTTTCTTTTTTTTCTTCTCTTCTTTTTTCTTTTTTTCTTTTTTTCTTTTGTTCATTTGAATCTCTCTTACAAATGTGATTCTCCTAATGAAATTCGTTCAAAAAAGAAAAAAAAAAAAAAAAAAAGAAGAAAAGAAAAAAAGCAAAAAAAAAAAAAGGGAGGAGAAACGAGAAAAGAAAAGAAAAAAGTAAAATCGAATCTTGAAACCAACCCGATACACGTATCTTTTTCTCCATTCTTATCATTCCCTTTTTTTTCTCTTTTTTCTTTTTTTTTTTTTTTAGTTTCTCTCTCTCTCTCTCTCTCTCTCTCTCTCTTCTTTCTTCCTTTCACCCTGAAAAGATTTAAAGATTTTTCTCCGTTGGTCGGGTTCGACGAACGAATGAAATTTGTCGTGCAATCGATTTCGAACTATTTCGATGCGCATAACGTGTGCAAACGTATTCGGGGATTGATACGGCCCTGAAAATTCTATCCGCTGTCCGTGAATGATAGCAACGTATCCAGGAAGCGAGTAAAAGCGACGTGAAAGCGCGATATTGAAAGGAGGAAAAACGAATGCTTTTCGTTGCTGCATCGAAATCGATATGTGAATACCTATAGTTGAACTTTTCCGTATAATAGGATACGATAAGATATCGTATGAAAAATACCGAGATATATTTTATTTAATAACAACGCCATTCTTACAATTCCTCTTTCTTTCATTTTCTATCTTTTTTCTTTCTTTTTTTTTTTTTTTTTGTTCTTTCCTATTTTTACTCTTTTTTATTTTTTTCTTCAATTTTTTTGATTATCAAACGAAAATATCACCGCTGACAACATATCTCTAATAATAATAATAATAATAATAATAATAATAATAATAATAATAATAATAATAATAATAATAATAATCTAACTCGTTGACACTTTTATCCTTTGCAATTCGTAAAAATGCGTTTTTTACAATTCCATTGTCAAAATAAAAATATTTCCACCGATATATTTCTAATAGCATCCAACTCGTTGCACTTTTATCTCCCGACGGATATCGCGCGCGCTTAGTATAAATAAGAAATGAATTTTTCTTCCTCTTTCTTTCTTTTCGTTTTTTTTTTTGTTTTGTTTTTTTGTTTCTCTTTTCTTTTCCCTTTTCTGTTTTTTTTTTTTTTTCTTTTATCTACAATTTTATTTCCAAACAAAACAAAAACATTTTGCATCGATATATTTCTAATAGCGTTCAACTCGTTAAAATTTTATCATCCGCGGTAATGTCATCAATAAAGGATGCATCCTTTTTGACGATTGTATATAGAGGAAAAAAAAAAAAGAAACAAAAAAAAAGGGGGAAAAAATATTAAATAAAAACAGAAAGGATAAATGAATGAATAAAAGTCAATATTAAAAATGAAAATCGACCTTTCAAACTATCAATATTTTCTTTCTTAAATTATTTATTTTCAATGAATATAAAAACAAATTGGAGTAATATAAACGTCATAATAACAAGGACGTGTAATTAATGAAATTGTTTGGTTGACGTGATGCCTACGAATATAGTTCGAATGTAAAATCCGTGTAGCATATGCTGGTAGTAACTCGTACATATGTAATATGGAACATGGTGGTCTAGAAATGGTGGTAATTGAATCGTTCGCGAGATTCCGACGATGGTTGTGGATGTTTGACGCGATGTTTAGTACCGTGCTAATTCAAAAGCGATCGCGCGAACACGGTAGAGATTAATCTAACCACCCTCCCCTCCCCACCGCCGCCGCCGCCGCCTCATCCCACCCCACCCCACCCCATTCGCCACCCCTTTTCACCGAAAATATTAATAACATCGATTCGACGAATACGATAACAAAAAAAGGAAAATACAAATCAAAAAAATGTAATTATAATAATAATGTAATTATGGAATAAAATAATCATTCAATTGTATTTGTTGTACGTAGAAAAAATATTAGTTGTACGTATAAAAAGTATTTCGATTCTCTTGATAGAAATATTCATTTAATTATTAAATCACTATTTAAACGTTTCCTTTCTCGAAATAACAATGATTATTTTAGACGAGGAAAAATAATTAAGTGAAGACGTTATATCCCATTTTCAATTATTATTATTATTATCATTATCATTATTATCATTATTATTATTATTATTATTAATAATAATTGTCAACGATCGATCAAAAATTTCCCTGATATATTTATAACAAACCAACCACCAATCCGTGCATTAATAACGTTTTCATCGTTCGTACGAAATCTTTATAAGGGTGAAAACAAAAGAGCAATTCAATCGATCGTACGGTCTTATGGAAAACATAAAAGAAAATAAAAGAAGAAAAAAATAAAGAGAGAGAGAGAGAGAGAGAGAGAGAGAGGGATAGGGAGAGGGAAGGAGGGGGTGGGGAGGAAAAAAAAGAGAAGAGAAAAAAAGAAAACGTAGATCAATCGAGGGAATTAGAATAAAAGAAGCTTTTCAAAGGCATATCCGTAAAATCTCTCTCGATAGATTCTCGATAGGTTTAATGAAGCCGAATATCAGATTGGAATAAACGATAATTTCGAATCTACGAGGTACATGGGAACCTCTCTAATGGCAGATCGAATACTCAC